GGCGCGAATGCCTACGACCCCCCCCCCTTTTTCGCAGCTGCGTCGCGGGCGTCTGCTATTTTTTTCTTTTTTTTCTCGTGTACATTTTCCAACGCAGGAGCTTGTACCGTTACACTTTATTTCACTTTTACCACATTTCTTAGAGATATTTTAAACAGGTTGAAACATACCATAATTCTGAAAAAAGCAAAATTATTACAAAGTAAGATCTATTAGAACAGTTATTATATATCGACAATTTATTGGGTTGGTTTATTGAGTATATTAGAGTTCAAGACTTTTCTTGAAAAATAGCCCTATTCCGTGTGGCCTTACAATTTCTATTTTGTCTCGTCTCACGCGGACTTGTGATCCTGTAAGAAAAAATTAATTTGTATATTTCATTAATATGTACACTTAGAACTTTATTGCAGTTTCGAAAAAATACCATTCTGTTTTAAGTGTGCTGTCCGCCAACTAACGTTTCCCACTCAAGGACGACTGAACGATGGGCAGCCCTTCAGTTTTCCTAAAGGTAGGAAGGCTTATTCCAATTCATAATGTATTTTGATTTATCCTTTACATTGCAAGAATTATGTACAGAAACGTCGTAAACATTTGAAAGCAAGTTTAATACAAAATCGATTGGAAACACATCCCTAGCACTTAACCTACCCACCCTGCCCTGTGAGCCTTGTAGGCGTGTCCCTCCTAAACCAACAGTTGGGCATGTAGCCTTCGCTGCTGAATCACCACCTAGTCTACAGTCCAGAGGGAGGTCACCTGCCATCCACATCTATGCAAGTTGCGAAGTGTAATGCCATCCCGCAGCTCAATAAGTTTCCCACCCAGAGAAGGTCCCCAATTTCTCTATGACTGAATTCATACCATGTTCAATAGCGGTAATCCAGCACAGGAGTGGATCCCATAAAATGGCTAAGCTAACCGTCTTCTTACAGATTATCCGGGCTCTGCAGACTTTCTTACATTTGCCCATCCTAATACTGAACTAGGTAATCCATTTTATATGCCAAGCTACATTTGTAGAAAAATCATGTATCTTTAAATGAAAATTAAGTCCAAGCAAAAATGACAAATATTCTTTATCTTTTATTTAAATTATTAAAAATTAAAATTAACATTCAAATTAAATGTTAACATTAATTTAACTATAACCTAAAAAACGAATCTACATTTAAATTTACTCTTATGTTTTGATAAAATAAGTATATTTCAGTAAACGAGACTGCAGTAACGCAGCAATATATTAAACTAATGGCGGACAAATACCTCATCTAACATCTGAGCGGAGCCAATGACTTCACAAGGAAGAATTATCCCTCCCAACTACAAATGTGCGTGTAAGGCAAATAGTTTCTATTCAGCATATATACTATGCCGTTTATTTTCATGTTTATATTTACTCTTCTCCTTTCTCCATCGTAGTAAGTTTGTGTGTGGCTAGACCTGCGTCATCCGTCCTGCAGTCGGGAGAAGAAACGCAAACGGCATGCGACGGGGCATGCGACGGGGCATGCGACGGGGCATGCGACGGGGCATGCGACGGGGCATGCGACGGGGTATGCGACGGGGCATGCGACGGGGCATGCGACGGGGCATGCGACGGGGCATGTGACGGGGCATGCGACGGGGCATGCGACGGGCTCCACCCAGAACACTCACCGATTCCAGTCTCCACCGGCGTCAGGCCAAAGCGTTGTTCCTTTTCTGCCAGAGGTGCTATGCTACCCTGCCCTGTGGTTTGGAACCTACTCTACCCTACTCTAACTGAACTGTAGACTTATCCCTATCCCTCTTTTGTCAGTTTTCCCAAAATATATTAGAGAGGCTTTTCTATATGCGAATGGAAACTTTTCTCAGGAAAAATGAAGCGTTTTCAGAATTACAACTCAGTTTTAGAAAATAAAAATGTATGAAAATGCCATTCTTTCTTTTCTTAAAGATGTTGCTTCATCAATGGATCAAAATGAAGCACCCATTGGAATATTTTTAGATCTTTCAAAAGCTTTCGACGTTATTGACCATAAAATCTTGCTATTAACATTACCTTCTTATGGAATTCGTGGTATCGCCCTAGATTGGATAAACTCATGCCTTAAACATCGATCTTAAAGAGTAGAAATACCGCACTGGCATCAAAGGACATTATTTAATTATCTTTCCTATTCTTTATCAATTGAATATGGGGTCTCGCAAGGTTCGATCTTAGGCCCTATCCTCTTTCATACGCAAACAATATGCCCTCATCTATTAAAAACGAAAGAACGGTTCTGTTTGCCGAAAGTACGGATGTTCTTTTCAAAAAAGAAACAATAAATAGTACGATTTTAGAAGTTAAAAATTAGTTTTGTAATAACAAATTAGTAGTTAACTAAAGAAAAACAGTTTCAATGCAGTTTTGCACTTCAAATCAGCTATTGTATGCTCCATTGAAAATGAACAATATGCGATTAGTTGATGTTAAGGTAACAAAATTTTTAGGTCTCTAAATTCAATCAAACTTCAAATAGAATGTTCATATAACAGAATTAAACATGAAATTTATTTCATCATGTTACACATTCAGAATCCTATCAAAATCTGTCAGCCTTCATGCAGCTCGTTGCGTCTATTTTGCAAATGTGCGTTCCCGCCTAAGATACGACATAATATTCTGGAGAAGCTCGTTATGTAGTTCTCAGATCTTTAGATTGCAAAAGAAAATTATTCGAATAATAAAAAGAAAATGCCATCTGCGTGATCCCTGCAAGCCTCCCTTCATTGAGCTTGGAATCTTGCCATTGCATTGCCTATTTTTTTCGGATCAGTAATATTTGTCAAAACTGACTGAGTTGACGGTGGGATATATTTTCATGCAATACTGATATTTATAATTACAACACACGTCGTAGAAATCATGTTCATCAAGTGTCAGTATCAACAGCTCACTACCAGAAATCCACGTACAATACATGTACGTTACTTTACAACGCATTGCCAGATGACATTAAACAATTGAAGTCAGTACACAAATTTAAGTTAAAAGTAAAATCATTTCATCTGCATAAGTGTTTTTATACAAGTAGAGACTATACTGATCACCAAAAAGAAAAATTATGTTAATTTTAATAAAACAGTGGTATATAATGAATTAGATTAGATTTCTATTGCACAATTTTTTTAAAGAGACATAATATGCTTGTAAGAAATAATGTTCTTCAGCTTCCGGGTCAATGACCCCCATTTCGATCAGGTTTTTGTCCAATTTACCTGATCCATTGAGCAAATGCTGAGATGGTCCCTTGTTTTGCTTCTGGACGTACATGTAGCTTCACTTTGCACACGTTTTGTTGAACTCTCTTGTTGCTTGTAGTGGTAGGAATAAAGGAAAGGGCGAGTTTCTATATTGATACCAAAGCAGAAGTATTAAATCTGTAGTTCGTTTACAAAAGTGTAGTTACAAAATAGTTTTCTATAACTCGGGTACGAAAATGTCTAATCTGTTTTCAAATGTTGCTATTATCACACATTTTTTAATTTTATTTTTATTTATTTACTTTTACTAGTATTTCTACTATTTATAGTTCAAATTATGTGAAGGGGTTATGGAACCCAAGAAAACGCGCACAGATGATCTCCCCCATACATCACATTAAGTTTTTACTATTTCTTCGTAAATAAATCTAAATAATTGCGCAATGTTGTAACGTTACCATAATTAGTTACATTTACATAAACAAATATTATTTATAACAAAATTAGATTTAGGCAGATCATTAGCTTGCAGGTATCAGCTGACGGTTTAATCCAATCGGGAGCTTGAACATCACCATAGTGACGTCACACTCCGACCACACTCACCCCCGCGACCGCTAATGCTGAACAATATAATCATCAACTGACTCCCTCTCAATAAACCAATCAGATACATAGGACTGAACAAGGACACAAAACTCAAGGGGAAGCAGTATATAGATACCAAAATCATTCACTATAGAATCAAGCTAATACAATTAAAGCCATTAAAACCCAGATCCAGCCCTAAAAAACAAAATATAAAATAAATTTCTCTTTCACATTTTCCTCAATAAATTCTCCGAACTAGATACCAACTAGAGGATCCCGACGGGTAACCTCAATCTCTGTATTAGTTTTAATTTAAGATAGCTATTAACCCATCTAACATAAGTATAGTTAATTTAAACTGAGCTATGTACTCACCATCTGTGTAAATAAATAAATAAAACAAAATTTAATTATAAATTTTATTTTTATAATTAGTACAAATTCTTGACACTTCTAGTTATGAACATATAAGAAAATTGAAATCTCAATAATGCAAAAAATCTCAGAAATTAGAGTCAACTTTTAATATGTTTTGAATGGTACAAATATAATCACACTATTATAGCTTATAGTAATCTTTTTAAAAAAGGAAGGTCAGAACAATACAGACAATACACCACTTTTTAATGCATTCTTACATGCATTCCTCTTTTAAATCCAAATATCTTAGTGTAAATTGAAATTTATCACTACGCCCCCGTTCGGAGAACGGCTGACATTCAGTAATAACTCATTTGGTGTGGGTAGTAAGTAGGCAGGTTGATAGGTATGGATGGCGAGGAAAGGGGGAGGGAGTGGTGAAGGAGGAGGACGGTGAGGGCACATACATTGAGGATGAGGAAATCCGAGGCAGGTGTGGTGAAATTGGCATACACCTGGCGGAGGAAGTGTGTGTAATGGGTGAGTGATCGGTGAGTGAAGAGTCAATGGGTTGGCAGGGCAAACTTGTGGATGAGAGGGGATAGTCTGGGGATAGTCTGGGGGAGGGATGTCTTGAGTATGGCCCACTTGTGGACAAGGAGGACTGGGAGGGAGGGGAGAGACTGGGAGAGGGATGTCTGGAGTATGACGAAATTCAGGATGAGGGTGTGGGTAAGGGATGTCATGATTGTGACTTTCTGGTGGGGGAGAGGGATGGTCTGGGTAACGGTCCGGGAGGATGAATTGCGGTGGATTTGTGAAGGTCTGACCTGCGCTTTCCGATGGGAGAAAGACTGATTGTGTGATGGGGAATGGGGGGCAAGAGTTAGAAGACGATGGGTCTGGGGAATGGGGGTGATCAAATGACTGGTCTTCTGCATTGTATTCAGCGAGTTGAACCCCCCTCTGCGAGGAAGCCTGGCATGTTACCTGGAACAGATAGTCGTTTTCTTAGGTTTCTTTTTTTCTTTCAAACGAAGAGAAAGTTGTAAAAATCTCCTTCCCCGAAAAAGTACAAAGATTCTAGTACTTTTAAATACTATATTTACGGTGGGTAACATTCATGATGAAATTAATCAATTTATCGCTTCCCTTTCTGGAGTCCACACCAAGATTCACGATTCAAGATTCTGGAGTTCACACCAATGCTCTTTAGAGCATTTTTGTATAATGTTCAACGTGGTCTAAAGGCGAATTACTCCGCCCTGACGATACAGGAAGCATTCCGTTGCATATTCTATAACTATCGTGGTGTGGCAGGCCAGGAAGAACTTGTGGTGGGTGTTTCAGTAGCACATATTTTCTCGCATTATTTTTAACTTTGCAATTTTTGAAAATTCTTAGAACGTGGAATCTGCGCCATTTTTGTGTTTTTTGCTCTATTCGAGTAAAAATTAAAGAAAAAAATGGAATCTTTCGCGAAAATATATTTTTTGTCTCTCATGTCAAGTTAAGCAAAATCTACTCTTATATTTTCGAAAAAATGTACATTTTCTTATTTAAAGATTTATCTTCGAAAAACAAATTTTATTCAAAAACAAATTCTTTTATCTTCAATATTGTCGTTGAAGGAACGTGTTGAAAAACATTGAACATTTGCAATTTTCGAAATTGCATAGTTCAACGAAAACTATTGACAAAATGTACTGCACGATAAGAAAAAGCCCATTAAGATAGAAAATTATTAGCAAACTAGGTAGTTGTACGAACAAATACCCATTATGATTCTGATTAGGCATTCCATTATATAGCCAAGCTAATGATTCGTTGTCAAAATTCAACTATCAATTTCGCCTAAAAGGTGCGCGTAACGAATAACATTGTAAATGACTAAATTGTAGACATTTTTTATAAACAGTATTTTAACCACATTCGATAGTTTATAGTATATGCAAAAACAAGAATTTTTTTTTTTTCAGTCATTTTGTTATAACTCAAATTCCAACGGAATTTCTTTGTCAAATTTCAGATTCACACACCCCACACACAAAAAAAGAAACAAAAAATCAAAAATACAACAAAATATGTTTTAGCAAATTATGTAAAGACTTGATATGTGTTAGAAAGTAGTGTACTGCTGCAAAAAATTATGTTGAGAGTTTGACGGTAATTCACGTTGTGGGAGTATCTGATGAGAAAGGAATGTTTTTCTTTCTTGAGTACGGGTATATATGTACTATAGAGGAAGTTATATAACGATGTAAAAATCGATGAGATTTTGGCGTAAATACGTGTTGGGAGACCCTGATATGAAATCAGGTTTTTTTTGAAATGTCTGTGTGTCCGTTCGTCTCTCTGTCGATACACAACACTTAACTCTAAACAGCTCAATTTGTTTTCTCCAAAATTGATATTACCCATCAATCTGGCTACTATCGATGCTCTGGGGAAAGGGTGGTAAATTATTTCATGAACACTTCCTTTAATATATTACTTATGTTCTAGTATTTTTGAGTTAAATAGTGAGAACGTTAGATTCAATAATGATAGTACATTTCAGTTAGTGAAACACAACTTTCACGTTAACAAGTAATTATCAGTGCAACAACGTGTTGTTACTTAAAAATGTTAAACAATGCTACACATTTTCGAAATTTTGAATTTCTTACAATACAGCTCAGCACTACGGTTTCTGAAAAGAAACACTTCGCGATTGACCTCAAGCAGGAACTCGAAATTTTAAGTTAAACCGAGGTCCTTCGCAGAACGTCGTTGATGGAACGTGCCGTGTTGAAAAAAATTCCTGTGTAAACGAATGTACAGTATCTTTGGATGTAATAAATTGAATAGTTCCTATATTTTTAAAGTTATTTCAAACCCTCTACACTGTTTGGCTTCCGCTAATCTGGCACCTATATGTGCAAGGAATGGCTGGAGTACCAAGTTTCTAGTATATAAGCATATTATACATTTGTTTACAAAATATATATAATTATAAATATAAGCGAATTATACATAATTATGTTGAAGTTGGAACTCCTGTTGAAGATTTTTTTTAACTTTGTAAAGTTACAGAGAATACAGCAAATACAATAACAGAAACCCATTTTCATTAGAATTTTCATAAAATTAAAGATATGTTTTTTTTAAGCTCGTTCAATTTGGAATGCATTGAGCGGGCTCAGGGCAATGAGGTGCTTTCGCTATCATGAGGACTTACGAGACCCGTTTCTGGTCGCGTGCTCGGGCATGGTCGCTGGGGGCGTGGGCGCGGGCGGGGGCCGGGACGGCAGATTCTTCTCTTCGGTGTTGGCAAAGGATTTTCTTTCCTTTGCCTCCTACTTCGTCGTACCTAAAATTTAAAAAAAAATAATTAGAGGAGCTTTCTTTCTTTCTACTCTACTTATTTTAAAAACATTATAAGGGAAACTGTCTTCGAAAAAAACATGATATAACAGAATTTAAGTTATAGTTGAAAGACCCATTGGAGAATATCATATTGTAGTGAAACCACGATTGTTGTTATTTTGATTTTACATTTATTGTACAACATTTTGTTCAACTGAGTTTTTTTTGCCTCCTCATGTTGCCTCCTCTAGTGGTTCCAATAACAATTTATGTCAATTTAAAACTTACATTAGACGTATTCCGACCAATCAGAAGAAAGATTCGTTCTTCAATCGTCATTCTTCTGATTGCTATGTTTTTCTAATATAAACAGAAGCTTTGAGTTTTTTCTTTTACTACAATATTGTAAGTTTTTTATTGTATGATTTCAATTTATAATTTCATTACCCACACACAAGTTGTGAAAGCCCAAGTAAACTGTTCTTGTGATATTACAATTCAATCGTGTATTAAGTATATTAAAAAAAATTAGTGCATACATCACTAAAGTACATCTGATTTATTTCTAGAATGATATGATTATTTCACTCATCCTTGTGAATTTGCGAATAAACATTTTAAAAGTTTATTATTTTTGAAATTGATATTATGAATTTGTTTCAGTTGTCTTTTAAAATATTTGACAAAATTTAAGTAGTAGGCCTAAATAATATACTAATGATATAATTTTACAAAAGACTTCTGAAACTTACACAATAATTCTGTTTTAATAATCAAGCTTATATTTATCCCATTTTTCATTTTCACAGGTATACAGAAAAATTCATTGTCTTCTGCTTTCACATAATTTAGAACAATAGGTTCATTGATAAGTGTCTAAAATGCTAGGAGGATACTTGAAGAATTTTTTTGATGGAGAAGAGGAATAAACAAGTATGAAGCCACGGCAACCTTCTTCATATTAATAAATGCATGTCCAGAAGACTTGACATATGCTATTCTCATACTGACCTTTCTATTCACATCTTTGCCAAATACTATATTTCATAAAACTCTTATGTCTGGATTGAAGCTGGTCTTGAATTGAGGCAAAAATTCACAACCTTCTTCATACCGTAGCCATCACACTAGTAACCAATTAACAATGGGACCATTAACAGTTTTCTTTCAGTTCAGAACGGATTCTTCCAATTTTATGATTTCAAAATAATTTCTTTTAGCTTTGTTTTAGTCTGAAGATTTGTGTCTGTCATAGTAATTATTTCTATTGTAATTAAATTACACATTCAAAATTAAACATGGAGTGGGAATTTGCTTTACCGGTTTTCTGAAATAATAAATAGCTGCCTCACTGGTTATGCAAAATCCTGCCAACTGGAGACAATCAGCTCAACTACAAACTTCATTAATTTGTTCTCAGGAAAAGCATTATACTGGAAGGCACAATAAGACTCTGTTCTACAAATGAATAATTTAAGCACTTACCGCAGTCATATTCTGAAACTATCTAATATAAATCATGCTAAATTCATGTGATGTTTACAAATATAGCATGCAAAAACAATTCTACATACATGTATACTATTTTATAACACTTCACCTGAAGATATTGTACCCTTGATATTAGGTCACAAGTCACTATATGGGATAACACTATAAAAGATCTTTGAACATCCTACTTAGGTGCCAATTTATACTCTTTTTTATATCTTCACCAATGCTCATCTAACATTGTGTCCATGAAGTTTTATTTCGGTTCACAATAAATTATTTTAGTTTATAGTCTCAAAACAAGTTATTTCACCTCATTTTATTCTGAACACATATCTCTGTTCATAGACACTTTTTGGATAATACCACATCGAAACTCAACATAAAGTGTAGATTTGCTGTACTTGCTTTCAGAATTCATAAATGCTCCATCAGTGGACAAAGTGCTGCCCGCCGGCCTGGAGACTGCTAAGGCTGAAGGACTGTAGAAGTCTTGGCTGGAAGTGTCGCATATTCGAATCCCACCTCAAGCATGGATGTTTGTAGATGTTTATGTTGTTCATACACATTGTTCCTACAGTTCCCACTACAGTTAAAACAATCACGGTGGTCACTACATGACCAAGTTGTTAAAAAGTGACAAAAAAAAGTTCTGCCCACTGGAGAGAATTAGCTCAACTAAGAACTTCATTCACTAGTTCTCCCTTTCTGTCTCAAAAAATTAATAATAATAATAATAATAATAATAATAATAATAATAATAATAATAATAATAATAATAACAATAATAATAATAATAATAATAATAATAATAATAATAATAATAATAATAATAATAATAATAAATAAAAAAATTTAAAAAAAAATTAAAAAAGCATTGCTCTAAGTTTAAAAGCCAAAAGAACAATTTATGAGCTTACACACCTTGTATTCTGAGTGCTTCAAATAATTGATTATTCCATGGAATTTAGAATAGTATCAAAAATACCAAAAGCAATACCCATAATGTAGCATGTGATACTAAATTTCTATTTATCAGTTAACAGGATCCAACTATAAATCTAGATACTTCTTCACTACATATCACCAGAAGATATTATACACTTGTCATAAATTCACACATTGCTAAATGAGATGCCACTAAACCAGCTTTTCCACTACTCCCGCTTAAGAAAAAAAAAATTTTAACAAAATCAAAAATAGAGAGATGCAAAATAAAAAATAGTATGGTTAATGTTATTGTTGTGAGGTCAATAAATGATTACATATTTCTAAGGAATGGAGTTAAATATTTGCATCCCAGTAATGAACAATTAGTTTAAGAAAATTGCGGTTAGATACCGTGTAAAGTTGTTATCTCCAAGAGTTTAAAGAAATAGTTTTGATGGAGTTAGAAACTTTGGTAGAGAATGTGTTCTATTTGAAGATGGAAATTCTGCAAGGTGAACTTATAATAAACAACAACATAAACAACAACAACAACAACAACAAAAGTAAGTAAGTAATTAAATATTTTCAGTTCTTCCACTTGTTCAAGTGTGTCATCCTTTCCCAAATACCTTTTGGTGTTGGAAGATGACATTTATTCACATACTACAATCCCTTAAATTTTCAATTCAAGTAGTATACTTTTCAGTAAACAACTTGTAGTATTTTTTCCTTTGAACATTTTAAAGAACTTTAAACTTTATTCTTCAATAATTTAATGAATTTTCAATTGTTTCTTATAGTTTTGAACTAATATGTACTGATGGTGTGCTCAAGATGGTGATATTTTACATCATGAGTGTAATGTTCTGTGATTCATACATTAAGGCAAATCTCAATTGCCAAGGAATATTTCTATTTTATAGTACACAATACTTCAATCTTAACATATGAAAGTCACTTCAGTCTTTTCTTGGACTGTTATCAGATATCCAGTTTTTAGCCCTAAATATACAGAACGCTCACAAATAACTATTTTAGAAAATTGAAGTAATTTTGTGAACGTTGTTGTTAACAAATAAAGACACCAATTATTTACCACAGAGAATCAAAACCAATTAGCCCATACACTTTAAGGTTTGAGATCAACATTGTAGTGCGCATTTCATTTGGTTTCCGTTTCCTCTCCCATCTTTACTTATCGCATCTAACTACAAATCACAGAAATGATAGGGAATAACACAAATGGTAAGTATATTGTTAATATAAACTTAATGTACTAAGTTTATATTAAAGTTATTAAGTAAAGTATTAAGTTTAATGGAAACACCACAAACATCATTTATGATAACACATTTTCTTATTTTTCTTTAAGAATTGAAAACATTTCTATATCTTACTAATTTGTTTGAAAATCTTGATGTCTTAAATTGAGCCAACTACAAAGAAAGTTATGTGTATATTGTTTTGACATTTCTATTTTTACTTAGAAGTAATATTATAATTAGTAAGCTAATTGTTTAATTTTGAAATGATTATATGTCTACAGCTCATTTTTTCTATTCTTAATTCAAAATTAAATTACCTAAATTAACAAAAGATACTATTTTTATAAGGTAATTCCTTTTTATTCACATTATATATTTGTTGTCACTATTAGGAACAATAATCCTCGGGTTGGAAAATACTGGCACAGAATCTGGTCCAATAGCAAACTATACACTTTAGAATTAAAAAAAGAAAATGATTTGTACACTCTAAATTGCAGATGTCTGAGTTCATTATTTTAAATTTTGTACTCACAGATCTGGTTTTAGGATACATATTGCTGCTGGCAAAACACACCAAAATGGCGTTTCCTCTGTTTCCGCGCCAAGTCCTCTTCTCTCGTGCATTGTTGCCAGGCAAATAAGTTTTCTGAGCCAATCCCGTGTGCAGTACGGATGTTTAAATAAAAGATATTAATAAAATATAAAAATAAAATATTATCAGAAGATTGTAAATATATATTCACGAAGTAAAAATATTTAATGCTTACAGTAACAAAGTAACTCATTTTTAAATGAGCTGGATCTCGGTGTTGAGAGTATTGGTCTATCTTTCTCGAATAATGTAACGCGCGAAAATATAGAAACCATGAGTTACAGAAAGAATGGATGGTCGGTTGAGCAGCATTGTCATAAGATAGAAATACATAGACGTACGCAGCCTATAACAAGAGTTCGGGGCCAACTACAGTAAAACCTGTTTAAGACGGAACCACCATAAGATAGAAACCTGACATCTCGGATAAAAAATATCCAAACAGAATGATTTTATACGTGAAAATGACGAAGGAAATGTGTCTAACGCGGCAACGGAAAGGTTTTTAGAGAACGTAAAGTGATTGGCGTAAAGTAAAGTATCTGGCTAAACAGGAAATTTATTTTTCAATTTCCAACAACGTCTTGGAGACGGGGGCCCACTCTGTCCTCGAAAAGGCGCGCTCAACACCCCAAGAACTACGCATTTCCTAATGTTACGTAATGTTGAGATAAATTTAGCAAGAACTGCTTATAATTTCCTATTGAATAATGCCTCAATATTTGTGCCGCCACAGTATAAAAATTGTTGCCAAGGGGCAGGTAAGGGGAATGGCGATTTTTCCCTTGCTTTCGTTTTGTGTTTAAATCATTCAGTTATTCATTGTATTTTGCAATAATGTGAAATAAATTAACAAGTCTCTGTGAGTTAAAAATTCTCGCTTTAATGCCGAACAGCGCTTTTAAACGACAAGAATCGTTGTCTGTTAAATCTCCTAACCTGAATGTCAAAAATAATGCTATTACATCACTCCCAAGTAATCACGATTACAAAATCAAGTTACTTTCGATTCCAAATTTTTAGTTTTACTCTCTCAATAAATAATTGAAAATTTGAAATCAGACTGATATATTATTTCAATGGATCGTTTCTTTGATTTAAAGAGAAAAAGAGGAATTAACATAGAAAAATGTGTGACAATAACTGTCAAGTAGCTTCTTCCAAAGACTGTCGTGGCCCAGGTATCCAGTGAGGTCCTGCCGCTCCAGGACAATTTGTACAACCCTTCTTTTTAAATCTCGCACTAATTTCTCTCCGATTTTGATCGCGAGCTCTAGAAAGCTTGTTACCTTGCATGCCACCTTGATGTGCCTGCTTTACAGCGTACGTGCAAAACCCTCCCTCTACAGAAGAAAATGCGGAATAAATGATTGTCCTATATTTTCTCTGTGTTTTTCTGTAATATTTTTATTGATAAATTATGCATTATTTTTTCATTGTTTTACTACCACAGTTATATCGAAAATATAGTTCTTAAGTTATAAGGTGAATGTTTGGCAACCTTCTTTAAAACGGAAACCTGCAAAACATATATTTTGAAGGGATTGTCAGGTTCCGTCTTGAACAGGTTTTACTGTACATTTTTGGAACCTATTTTGGCATATTTTATTAGAAAATAAATAAATAAAACTCTGCAAGGATAATTAAAATGTAACTTAAGCGACACAATTAATAAATACAATTGGCCTTGTGTTCAGGGTTGGTTTGGAGAGCCACTTTCCCAAATGTTTTATGACAATTCCTCAAATTGTCAGGTTAAAAAGGGAAAAATTAGGAATTTGACATATTTACGAAAATGAAATGTTTTACTACGTAAGGCTAAGGGCTCCTTTCAAAATTTTCAGAAGAGCCGTCCCTACGGCCGCCTATGTTAAGGTAGTATGTTCGTTCGATTAACTATGTTAAGTAAAACTACTTTAAATGAAAGTAATATATCTGTCCTTCAAGCTTTTGCGAAAAAAATCGCCTTTGCCAGCCTAATTTTTTAATAAAATAAGTTTAATTTAGTAGGACAAGCTCTTATGGAAAAACTTTCAAGACATTTGTTTTTTAGGATATTGAAGAAGTTATACAAAGTACTCTTTTCTTATATTGAATCATCTTTTGATGATGGTATTAAATGTAACATATCTCACCGGGCATTGTGAGGAGTAATTGAGGCGTTCAGTGAGAAAGGAACTAACTCACAAGGGTATGGAACAGAGTTAAATTGAGTTTTGCGTTTGGGTTATTTTATCAATTATTTGTACAATAAAGGGGATGTTTTTCATTATCTTCACGAAAACAAACTTATTTATTTGAAAAAAAAACTGATTTAGCAATTCTAGAAGTATTTTACAGACGATACACATCCCTACAAGTACGATTTTTTCAAGAATCTATCGAGTGATAATGTTTGTGATAACTCCATTCCTTAAGTTTGACCGTAGTATTTTTTGTAGTGACAACACTGAGATATCCATTTTGTATGTTGCAAAGTCTTTGACTTTGAAAAATTCAAAAAATAATATTGCACGTTTTCATCGTCGGGTGGTGTTAGCAATTGTGGTTAGACGTAATGTGCATTCACATCCAGGGCGTTGTTTCTTCTTGGGTACTGTTTTACCTATCATGTCACTAAAATTCTTCTCTGTTCCTTTTCCTATTACTTTCTTGTCTTATCATTTTCGTTGCATCATGAACGCGTCCTTGCCACTTTTTTCCGAGCTCTCTTACACACGGATATCCTTTATTTTGTTTTCGGGCGCGTCATCTACTACAGTCATTAGTTCCGTAGGTGTAGTGCATGTTATATTCCGGGTGGATTCCCCCCTAGAATGTAAAATCTGGTGCATAACTACGCGTTGGCTTTCCCCTTCCACGTACCTCCACCAGAGGAGCAACGACCAAGCCGGGAGAAGCTCTAAGCTGCTGACTCGCCTCCCGACATACATAAGTACTTTAAGTGCGCGCGCGTGTGTAATAGGGGAGGATGAAACAAGGTTGGGGAAGCAAACGTGCGCTGTCCGTGGCCCGTTCATTTTAACTAGGGGCTACTTTTAGCTAGGGGTTGATGATCTAAAAAATTACCAAAAATAATCAATAGAATGCTCTTAAAATGATTTAAAAAGCCCTAAAAACAAAGAAAAATTATGTAAAATCATTTGATCAAAACCACTTCAGATGAACAACTCAAGCTGTTGATGATGTAAATGATGTTGTAATTGTATGTTACTGACGTAATTGAGGATTCTTCCTTTTGTTCAAGTGAACGCAGCTTCCAAATTTTTGGTTTGGACTGTTCTTTAAAAAAAAATTTGTTTCCTTTATTTATCGCGAAATTTTCCGAACTGACAATGGCGTGGATAGGCGTCACAGGAATTTTAAATTACATAGTAGAGACAAAGGCCGACGTTACAATATATGAGCGAAGAAATCGAACAGGCTACTCAGGAATTCTGTGATGAACATTTGTTTCAACTCGTCAATATTGTTTGAAACAAGTATCATTAAAATTATATTAAAATCAATGAAATCGGCGAAAACAGCATTCAAATGACGTAAAAAGGTAAAAATGACATATTAGTCAAAATCGACGAAAAATGAAAAAAGACATAAAAATGATTCATTTCGTTTTGTCTTAACATAAAATGAATTTCTATACAAATTGTTCTCAATGAAAAGAAAAAATGATATTTCATTACAATCCGCCTCCTAGTTATGATACTACTCCGACAATCAGCTGGTATTATTCGGATAAATAACGGAAAACTACTGAACAGAGTATCCGGCTGCAAGAATTCTCCTCGTCAGTTGGTGACAATGACCAAGTTAAGTGGTTAAAGCGAGATATTCCCTAGTAGATATAAAGTCCATATTACGTTCAAAAATATTTATGGGCGGGATAAAAGTGTATTGTGAGACCCACGTGACCAAAATAGAAACTTTTATGCTGAGTTTTATTTAATTATTTTAATTAATTTTGCTTCATAGGAGCAAAATAAAAATAATTTAATACCACATAAAGAGCTAGCAATGACTAGTTTCTTAACTAGTACCAACAGATCGCGTGGCCATGGAATGAAAAATTGAAGCATAAGATGAACATAAAGAAGCACTCAATTAGTACGAGCTAGATGATAAAAAGTAACATTATAGACACATATGTATATATTTTTGTTCAGTGATTGCTAATAATTGCAAAAATGTTTATGTTTGAATGGGGTGAAAAGTCTGTAGTAAACTAGGCAACGCCTTAATGTCCTTGAGATTGGTATGACTGCTCAGGGTGCATGCTTCTTCAGTTTCGTTGTTTTCAATCACTTTGAATACTGTTCGTTGCCTGGTCGACACGATGTAAACATGACAACCTGAGCGAAATGGCTGAAGGTTTATTTCTAGAGCGGATTTGTGATAAAACGAAATAATTCATGTTACGAGAACAGTGACGCAATAAAAAGTTTTCAAATATTTTTTCAATGTTTGTTTCTCTCTAATTTTTATTTATTGAATTACCTGAGCTAATGGTAGTCCAAACCTTAGATTATTGGATTGCTTAACAAGATCAACAGTTTGATTCTCTCCAACATTGTATAAAGCTTTATATTTAACTTAACAGGAATCGTAATTATTGTCTCCTACTGCACTTTATTATCCTTCTCATCACAATATATTTTTTGTTGTTTTCTGTTATTCCCCTAGTTAATTAAACTGCATGATCTATTTTAATGTTTTAATGGTTTTGATTGAAATTTTATAACTATGTTTGCAATTGCAATGTGCCATATTATTTTCAGAGGTGTGATTGCATAATTCAATGAAACTGGTTATATTATTATTATGATTACATTATTATTATTGGTTATATTATGGTTATATTATTATTATATTATAGTATAATTTTATATCATGTTATGATAGTGATTTAGATGCAAATTATTGTGTAAAATACATATTAAACTAAAGCTGATAAAATAAAATTACTGCAACATATAATTCTGAGAACTGTACTATTGAGATCTTCAATAATAAAAATATACCACTGTTGGAGATAAAATCTTCAAACGAGATTTGCAAGTGGCATAGTCTTTTGAAATCATTTGTCTTGATGTTGCACTCATAATGAAAAGAGGTTTTAATGTTTTGAAAATAAGTCATGAGCACCATTCAAAATGCATTACTACTCTTCAGGAAATGCAAACCCTTAGATAAAATATAGTACTCAAGAGAAAAGGGGTTTCTATTATAATACTAAAACTACCAAAGGGTGAATATATCATTCCTCTTACAATTTCAATAAAATGTAATTATTAATTACAAATGTAATTATTAAACATGCCCATGGGCGGTTTTAGATTTTAGGTTTTCAAGCCCAAAACTATACTGGGCACTCCTTCAGAAAAATATTTAAAACTAAAAAACTAATTAGGAATAAACTTAAAAAACACTAATTATGTTATAATAAATCTTTGTTTCAATGCAAATGTAAATTAACAAATTGCTTACAAAGTAGGAATTCCTTTTTAAATTTCTCATTTACAAATACATGTTTGGTTTCTAATTGTTCCATTCAATTTCTTTTTAAAATCAAACGTTGTTCAGTAAAGTATTTGATTAATGGTTATTCAAATAATAACATTTAATGAAGTTTTTAATGTTTATTTTAAAAAATCCGGGCACGGGTATGCGAGTCCCAAGCCTAATTTTGCTAGGAGGAAATCCAGCTCTGCATTTACCTATACCTTGAATGGTTGATATTAACACCAGCAAAACAGTATTTAATCATTGCAACACATTTGAAGTCTCTAAAAAGTATATTTCTTTCTGAATTGAATATCCACTCAGTAGCTCTACAGATTGAGGTGCTGGTCTATGCTAAAGATTGCTGATTTGAGTCCTGCGTAAACAACTGTTGTGAAAAAGACAATGAAAATCCACTGTGTATCTCTGTAATAAAAAAGAGAATATGAATAATTTTCGAATAATTGAATAAATAATCATTGTTCAGGAGCAAAAAACTGACATACGGCATAATATAAAATAATAATACTGTATTGAATGTTTAAAAATAAGCTTTCCATAAGCTTTCAAGATCACCCATTTTCTCAGGGAGTAGTATCAAAGTGAGTCATTGGGAATATTAATTGAATTAAGATTTTCATTGAGATCGCACTGACCATTATATCCATCAAATTCCAGCTTTTCTGAATATCTGGTTACTATCAAAAGCAACGTTCTCCAGGAGTGAAGATATTTTAATTCCTCGCCGAAGACCCAGAGGAATGTACGAACTCTTGCAGATCTTGTCACTCAATTTGAATGAAGCGCGTTGGGCGCGCAGTGTTGACGAGATGCACGTCACAGTTCCGATCCTCTAGAAAGTGCGCGAACGTCTCCCTTTGGAATGATTTAAGCTTATATTTTTGCAAAATTCTCCCATTTGAATCGGTAGATTTCTTTCAAATTGATTCTTCAAGATGCTAGCTATCACCAGAAGAGTTTTTAAAATCGTGTTAAACAGTTAATTTTCTCACAATTTTAAAATTTCAGGCCAGATCTGTCAGGTCACCTTAAGAGCCTATGTTATAAGAGCGAACTTTACGGTCTCGATACGCGAAAACTAGATGATAAACTCGATTCAAACTCTACCAGAACATAGAAGAACCTTTCATCTTTCGATTAATTCAAAAAATGGCATGTTAAACTAAACACTTATCTCGCTCTAACCAACTTAAAGAGGTTTTCAGCGTGCTTTGGTTCCGAGAATTTTCAGTATGTCGAACATTCGGTCCTGCCAACTTCGAAAATATATATGAAGCTATGCTTTGGCGTTACATTCAAATGTACGTGATTCGAGAATGTCATCAAGAACTTCTGATTATGACGTTAATTCTAATCCACTGAATGTTTTGAAACATTGAAATAATTATCGTTTAGATCAATTACTTGTATAATTTTCTCCTGAAACTCATGTTGAAATATGAGAAGTTTAATGTTTTATTTCATTGTAAAATGCAGGTATAATTAGAAAATTTGGTAGGTATAAATTACACTCTTTAAAAGATTGTTAATGATTGATAAGGATGTAAAATGAATGAAAGGAACATTTAAAAAAATTGATATCAGAGTCTTAATTAAGTTTTATTAGTCTGCATTTCAAAATTGCCCTGGTCCTAGAATAATATATTTCATCCAAACATTCAAGAGTAAAACTAAGGATAAAGAATTAAAGCACTATAACTTTGTTACTAGTAAATGTATTTCACAATAATTACATAGGGGTATTTTTCTGTGAAATCTTCATTTACACTGACCCTCTTCAGATATATAATAAATTTATTTTTTTCACAATCTTCTATTCCTTTTCTCTATATTCATTGGCAATTCTCTCAGCATGCAGCACTGTATTTTTGAAGTTTGTAGATGACACCTTAAAAATGTACTTTATTGAATTATGAATTGAACCTCATTTTCCTTGTGTTAATGAATGTTTATGAATTTGGATAGCTGAGATATCTGGTCTAAAGCCTGTTTTCAAACACTTCTGACCTTTTCCATTCCCTGGGAAGATCTTGCAAGGACATTCTTATTGAGGTATCCCTTTGCCTAACACCACACTTATTCAGTTGGATTGAACATGCCATGACATGGAATAAGCCTTGAAACCGTGTGCCCTTCAGTTCCAAGCATTTCAGCAACAACACACCTGTAGGTAATTACTTTTAACACTTGAAACAAATTAATTTATACAATAACCTCTTCAAACATTTTAATAAAGTATATGATGGTGAAAATTAAAAGGTGAAAACTGAAATGCAAGAATAATAATACACTGCATTTACAGTGTATCCTGACAATAAATGTGTATTTTTAAAATTTTCATATTTTGCACAAAATATTAGCAGTATTTGTCTTATTTTGCTTATAATACCTACATTTTAGATCTGCTCATGGACTTTCTCGCCAGAGTTAATAATAAATATTTGTTGTCATTGTGCACCACATACACTCGTTTTTGGGTCAGCCATGACTAAAAAATATCAAACATTTTAAATAAATTTCTGGAGTTAAGCACCACGAACACAGGACATTAAAAATTAAAATAAAATTAGCTCATCCAGCAACGGTTGACAAACTTGAATTGGGCAGACCTCTTTAAATTATTTCTAGTTCTTTTATTACCATATCAATAAATACTTGAAAGAATTTTGTTTGTAAAAATAAAATTCTTTTTGAAAACTAAAAGTAAAAAGTATAAAAATGCATCTATGAATCTACAAATAGGCAATCAAATCATTAACACATGTATTCAAAAGCACTCAGTAGAAAGAGTCATACTATATAGGTCAACACCCCTATAATAAGTTCCCATAAAATTCGGAGTATTAAAATTATCAAAAAAAAAGAAAAGAAAATACATTATACTGAATTATACATGTAATGTAATAGTATTACATAATGCAATGTATAATATATATATATATATATATATATATATACATGAGAAGAGAGAGGAGAGAGAGGAGAGAAGAGAGAGAGAGAGAGAGAGAGAGGAAAAGAAAGAAAGACTTTTCTTCAACAACAATTTAATACACTTCTTTTAACTATTGACTAATAACTATTTAATTGTAGATTGACAAATAGCTATTGTTAATTTATACTCGTAGATGCAATAAATAGTTGCGTATTTGACTGGTGACTGGTACAAACATACTAGTACCTTAGTTTGCCAGCAGAGTATCTGTACCTACAAACTTCTGTCATTGCCACATTTTGGCTGTCAATATTGGATATTTATTCTTCTCGGACGCTACCCTGAACGACAGTTTAAATTCTTGACCGACGAGCACTGTAAAAAAGTATAGTAGCAATTACCGTAGGCCCATTTTATTTCGTACATTTTGCGCAAATCTGTTGGGAAAGGGCCTTTTGCTCTCAATGACTTCATTCTAAAATTGTACCACATTTCAAGAACTCCCACGCATGCAGTCAGACAGCGGTCTTAACCATGGTTGAAATACGTGGGTGAGTTCCTTCGGCGCAGCGATATTTGCTCGTTCTGCGCACCACCAGTTTGCGACACGAACCACTTGACCACAGTACGGACTCTTGAAAAGCCAGACCAGACACAGGCCGCCATGTTGCGTAGAGAGCAAGTAGTGTTCAGAAACAATTTGAAAGTGGTACAAAATGACACTTTTCAGCGGTAACCAACCAAAAATAACGCGATGAAGGTGTACAAGATGCAATATTTAAAAGAAACGCTTCATAAATCTGTTTCAATGTCTTGTAACGATGTGATAATTTTGGTATCTAGTTACATTTAAAATTACCGCTAATATTGTGACGCAAACTGGTGTCTGGAGTTCATTGGCTGAAGTCGAACGATGCACAAGAGCCGGTCTTGGCAATAAATTGATCGGACCCCGGTGTCGAGAGCGAGGAAATGATGAGACCGAGGGCGAGAGAACTGACTAGCGCCCGTGCTTGGGGCTTGCTTCTCTGCCTGTGGAAATGCTTCGCAGTGAAATATTTTTGGGTTATCTTTCTACATATAACGTGGCTTTCGTTCCTCTAAATATTCTCTCCCACTTCGACAGATAGACGTTCTGCCATCAATCGATCTTTCGGGATCAAGAACCCACAAAACGTGTATTCTTATTAAACAAAGTGTTAGAGGAAATCATTTTCTGAAAATGAGGATAGTTCATGCAAATAACATGTCCATTAAATAAGATTTTTCAGAAACAGCGAAAAACTAATTGTTGACTAGTCATTTCAAACTAGCCTTTTCAAACAATGTAATATGCTGTACTGCTTATCAGTATTTGCTTTTACTCGGAAAATTTGAACTTGTTTGCTTTTGTCCGAAGCACCTGCGGACATGTTTGCTTTTGCATAAAATAATGCTACTACTATAATTACATTTGATTGGGAAAAATTATTTCACTGCAGTTTGTAAGAAAACATTTTATTTTACCAAACATACAAAACTACTATAACAATTCTTTGTAGAAAATGTAACCATTTTTTTGTTATTTAAGGTCACATCAATTACTAGGTCATTAGCGACCACTATTGTAGGGTAATTGTGATAATGATGATGATAGGGGGTGAAAGACGAATGCAACCATTCCCGGGGGGGGGGGACTCGAATCCGCGATCTTTCGGTCCGAGATCACTCGAGAATTCGAGAAAAAGGAACCACTTTTAGTGGCTAAAGAAATTACAAAGAACTAAAAAGAAATTAAAATATATATGTACCGGCCATAATCATCTGTATGGATTTGCTAGCGTCGTTTCCATGTGGCGGCAACTATTTTAAGTTTCACGCGTAATTTCAAACGCTACTTCGCAAATTTGCTCGTTAGGAAGCGGTGCGAGCTTTCGAAACTTCTACCAGGGCCGGATTTACCTACAAGCAAAACAAGCAGTTGCTTGGGGGCCCCCATTCACCAGGGGCCCCGCGTTTCGGAAAAATACGCATACCATATTTTTTTGTCTGTGAAATAATTGTTAATCAAGTAGTCTACTGTGTAACAAAATATACAATTTCAAAACATTTTTTAAAAATATTTAAAACATGTTAAATTAGTCTAATATTAACTATACTTTATTTCCTTTACTTATAACTTGATGATATCAAACTGTACTGGAGAACGGTCATTCAGTAAACTGAAGCAGATAAAAACTATCTACGTACGACTATGTCTCAAGAAAATTTAGTAGACCTAAGTATCCTGAGTATGGAGCAATAAGCTGATAAGCTGAGAAATCTTCGTTTTGAAGACATCATCGACCACTTTTCTGCAGTGCAGAGCAGAAAAAAATGTAAAATGTTTTTAATGTAAAAAAATGTAACACAAGTAACAATTTCTATAAAAGATGATCAGTTTTCATTTGTATCTGTACAGAAAGTACTTGTACTATAATACATTTTTTTTATTTCATAAAGATGGAGCTATTTTTTCGGGGGGGGGGGGGCAACACAATTTTGTGCTTGGTGGCCCGCACTACTTAAATCCGGCCCTGACTTCTACCATTCATTTCATTCTCAAATTTCATTTCTTCCTGGAGGAGAGGGTGTTTCACATAGCAACGTGTTTGTTTGTGACTTTTCCTTTCCGAGCGATGTTTGGTGGCGTGCTTTGTTATCATGTGTGGCAGATGGCGAAATGTTGAGATTCAGGATTCGCCAACGCTGTTCGGCAGGATAAAGAGAAAAAATTCGTCACGTTTCCCCCGCGACCGGGAAGGTGAGTGAAATATTTCGAGTTATGATAACGAGATACAGTAGGTGAGTGGGAAATTAATTGCTGCCTGTTGCATTCGAATGTTTTATCAAATTCATAAAAAAATTGTATTTGCTCAACTGAAACAGCAATTTAGTTTATTGTTATCAAGTGTATTGGGTTAAGTTCGTAACCTGATTCATTTCGATCTAGTATGGTGTTATTTCGGACGTTTCAGACATCTTAAGAGCTTTACAAGCCATTGTTTTATAAAGTAATGCGCAAAAGTGCAACATCCATACTATACAAGGCCTGGCAAATTTGGGTTTATTATTTCTGCATTAGATTTTTCAAATATATGTTTTAATTACAGGTGACAAAGTGGCTTCGGTTCTGCAACCTGAAATATAAAATCCGGTTAGCTGGAGACGTCAGAGAAGAAAATAACTGAATTGCCTGAAAATACCCTTGAGTAAGACAGTTTGGAGGAATACCACTGATTCGTAAATAAATAGGCAAAACAATTCTAGTATTCTAAGCTTAATAAAAATTTCTTTTGTACAAAAATTGTCACTAACTTTCCCCCAAAAATGTGTACTCATGTGGAATACTTACTGAATATAAGCCTACAAATATTGCCTGTTTATTACCCCTTCAATTGTATGATATGAACGAAAATGTCATGAATTAGAAAAAATAACATGCGTTTTAAACTAACAAATTATATTCGTATTAGGATATACACCTTTTCTAAACTAAACTGCAGATGTGGAAGAGGATAAAGAAAGCTCCAAATGACATGTTGCTGTGTGTGTGTGTGTGTGTGTGTGTGTGTGTGGATGAATAAATACAATATAATCTCTTCCCCTATCTACAATCTTGTGGAAGAAATTCATGGAAATTTGTAATATTTTTTAATGGTGGTGCCGAAATAATGAGCTTTGCAGACTTACTAAATCCAATAATTACAAATAAAAAACCACATATCAGCCTTAATAAAATGTTAAAAATATGTCAGTGCTATGATATCCGTACTAATTCCAAATGTATTTGTTTTGTGGTATTAAATTAAATGTTAGGTCTGATTAAATTATCATTTTCTAAAGTATTCGACATGGATTATCACTAAGTGCTAATATGCTAAGAGATTGCATTTTGGTGCCAAGTAAATTCTGATGAATGCTCTTTGATCCCATAATTCAAATGATAGAGATGTGTGAATAACGGCATGCCCTGGGATCGGATACAAGAGGTATCAAATATTTGCATTTTGAGACAATCGACTATGATCATTTGGTGTATTAGTAGTTTACAGTAATGACAAAAAATGTTTCTGAAGAAAAGTACATTTGATCCAACTTGCAAGTCATTGATGTTGATATAAAATCATTTATGCCAATTGGGCCACATAAAAAAGATGTGTTTTGAGTTGTAACTTGCAAAGTTGGAGATAAATAATAATTGCGTTAACATTGATACGTGCGAACGTCAAAAGGTTTTTCAAAAACTTAATGTGTGTGCAATTCATAGTAATGATGTAATGTCTGCAATACTGGATTATTCTTCTGTTCCTGAGTCGTATTGCTCTACAATATTATGAAAAATTGTTTTTAGAATATATTTTATGAATACTACATAAAAACATGTTTTTTTTTATAATTGCCAACCTATTCTTCGCAACCCCAAATATTTTGTTATTTTTAGACAGGCGCAAAATTAGCTGAATATGTAATGTTACGGTGGTTAATGTCTACATTGGATTTCCAATTAGTAGATTTGACATGAACATGACACATCT